TTTGCTGCAGGGTTCGGGCACACTGGAAGTGAAAGTGGATGCGGCAGCTCAAGGGGTGCAGAAAAGGGACTCCAACGAGTAAATTTCACCTCTGTCCTGAAGACCACCCTAATGCTGCCTGCCGGGATAGTTACAAGTTTTTCTGCCCTTTTGGTCATCTGTAACCTTGGCTACTTACCCAGGGCGGGGGGCAACTCGGTCCCCAACGCTTTCCATAGCCCGGACCTTTCATCCTAGACCATGTGCTGTGGGAGCCTGTTATCCCATTACTGTAACTGTCCGTAACCCTAACTCAGTTCAATGGCACTATGGTATAACATGGGGACTGCAACTCTCTATCAAAGGGTTAATCTTAAAACTCTGTTTACCATTCAAAAGAGGATCCTAATCCCCCGGAGCCCCCCTAAACCCACTGGTCCCTTAACTAATTTAGAAAACCCTATGTTCTGCCCGCACCCAGATAAGGTCAGCCCCATTGGCCCAACTGTCCTATCGCCAGTCCAGACTCCCCAACTCCGGCTGCCACCCCAACACCTCCAACCCAGCTTAATGTCCATCTTAGGGGGAGTGCATCACCTCCTTAATTTACTCAGCCTAAACTGGCCCAAGACTGTTGGTTATGCCTGAAGGCCAAACCTCCGTATTATGTTGGATTGGGAGTTAAGGTCAAGTTAAATACTGGCCCTCTTCCGCGTCGTGCTCATCCTCGCTCCCTTACATTACGGAATGTTTCAGGAAACGCCTCCTGCCTAGTCAGTGAGGGGTATAACCTACCCATTTCCCCTTTCTGGGCCACCTGCAGTCGGACTCTGCTTACTTCCCTAACTGCCTCAGTCTCCTACCAGGCACCAAATGACACTTGACTAGCTTGCACCTCAGGCCTCACCCGCTGCATTAATGGGGCTAAACCTGGACCTCTCCTGTGCGTGCTAGTTCATGTGCTTCCTCAGGTTTATGTGTACAGCAGACCAGAGGGACAGCTTCTCATTGCCCCTCCTAAACTTGCACCCCAGGTTCCGCCGGGGTGCCCCACTCCTAGTGCCCCTTTTGGCTGGCCTCAGTGTGGCTAAGTCAGCAGCAATCAGCACAGCTCCGAGGAAAAGCTGGACTAGGGTCCCTAACCCAGCAAGTAGATGCAGATTTAAGAAATCTCCCATCAGCCGTAAATACACGGCATGCCCAGGTAAACTCCTCAGCTGAAGTTGTTCTTCAAAACCGCCGTGGCCTGGACCTAGTGTTTCTCCCCCAAGGGGGTTTATGTGCAGCGTTAGGGGAAAGCTGTTGTTTTTACGCTAACCAGTCTGAAGTTATAAAGAATACTCTTCAAAAGGTTCAAGAAAATTTAAATAAACGCCAACGGGAATGAAAAAATAACACCCCATGGTACCAAAGCATGTTTAACTGGAAGCCTTGGCTAACCACTTTAATAACTGGATTAGCAGGGCCTCTTCTCCCGCTCTTGTTGGGGTTAACTTTTGGGCCCTCTCTATTAAATTGGTTTATTAATTTTGTAAAATGGCGCATAGCTTCTGTCAAACTTATGTATCTTGAAACCCAATGTAATCCCCTCGTTATAACTAAGAAATCAATAATTTAAATCCCCAAAAACACAAGTGGGGAATGTGATAACCTGCTTTTTGCTAGCTAAAACTAACTCCTCAGACTGAGAGCTGTTCAGACTTTATGTTAGCTTCTTAAGCCAGACAGACTCCATCTTGGCTTCTTCATTTTAGTTATTTTCCCACCATTAAGTATGTAACTGTAGTATGTATCTGGGGCAGGCTGGCACTGGGCACCTCCAGGAATGCATTTGTTAATAAGAGGCCGAGTTAAGTGGTACCAGCAGAGCCTGGGAATGCAGGCGCTGTCGAGCCCCCAGAGCCCCCATTATCTATAAGTTGTATGTCTCATGACAGCTCTACCCCTCCCAGCTGGCATTGTTTTATTTCTCATGTACTAGTTTATCTTTTAACTTTTTCCTTACTCTGCTTCTGTGAAAAATTTGCTTCAGCTAGGTTCCCCTTCCCCTTTAAAACTAAGGTATAAAAGTCCACCTAACTTTTCCTTAGGGGCCGAGAGAATTTGGGGCGTTAGCCACCTCTTGGTAGCCGGCATAATAAAGGACTCATAACTCAATCTCAGAGTGCGGCGCATTCCCGAACTCACCGGGTACAGCAGCATCTGTGGGTGTGTCGCTTGCTGGAGCCTGTGCGGGAACACAGTGAAGCAGCAGCCGGGGCAGGGGTTGGAATTTGCATCTGTTGACAAAAAGAGTCAAGCTGTGTAAAGTATTTGAAGAGATTTATTTCGAGTCCAATATGAGTGACTATGGTGACACAGCGCTCAGGAGGTCCCGAGAACGTGTGCCCCAAGGTGGCTGGTGTGCAGCCTGGTTTTGTACATTTTAGGGAGGTGCGTGTGTCGGGGGCCTGGTCCAGGCTATAGGTAGATTTGACAATCGGTTGAGTTTGTCTAAAGACCTGGGATCAACAGAAAGGAATGCCTGGGTTCAGATAAGGGGTTGTGGAGAGCAGGGTTCTTATTTACGCAGATGAAGCCTCCAGGTAGCAGGCTTCAAAGAGACCAGACTGTAGATGTTTCTTATCAGACCTGAAAAGGTGCCATACTCTTAGTGGAGTCTCTCCTGAATCAGGGAAAAGACTTGGAAAGGGAGGGGGATTCACTGCAGAATGTGGATTGACCCCATGAGAGACAGCTTTACAGGGCTATGTGAGAATATGTCAAAGAAATGCATTTTTGGGTGAAGTACTTCTGTTTCAGGGCCTGCTGTCTGTCCTGTAATGCTATACTAGAGTCAGGCTGGAATTTGGTGTCTTCTGCTATAAAGTCAGTCTTGAGATCTCTTGTAATGTTAATGCTGGTCAGCTGTGCCTGAATTCCACAGGGAGAAGGGCAGAACGAGCCAAGTTCGACCCCCATTCCCATTATGGCCTGGTCCCAGACTCCCTGGGGAGACACCCTCAGCCCTGCTCTACTGAGTCCCCTGGGTGCATCCCTCTGCCTGCCCGTCCTTCCCCCAAAGGCCTTGTGGGCGGTTTCTGAGTGGCAGCCTCGAAGCTCCTTGGCCAGAGCCTGGGCCTTTGTGCTCTCCTCTCAGGTCACCTCCGATGCCGGCTGTGCCCAGGCCCTCCTACCCTTCCTCCCCACCTCCCTCCCAGTGCTCCTGCTCCCGCCCTCCGCAGTGCAGCCCCGTCCACTTCAGCAGTTCTGTGGAGAGTGTCCTTCTGTCTCTACCATGCCTCAAAGTCAGGGACTGTCAGGAGTCATTTCCAGGTCCCCAGGGGATGGCACAGGGTGAGGCTTAGTGCAGGGGTTCCATCAAGCTGTTGACTCAAACTGAACTTGCTAGAAACGATGGGTACAGGTGCTCAGCCCCCGCAGGCATGGCCCTGACTGCTCCTGTGGGGCAAGACGGAGATGCCTGCAGCTGGGGTGTTACTCTAGGAAGGCACCCCTTGATTTGGGGGTGTTTCCCCTGAAATGTAAACGATGGGCCTGGAATCCCCCAGAGACGCCAATTCTTACAACAAGCAGCTCTGGGCCTTCTCCAGTGGAGTGGGTTTTCCTTACAGCGGGCAGGCGGGGCTGGGGCTGGGAAGGAGCTGAGGGTACAGCGAGGTTTAGAAAATAACAGGGACAGCCGGACGTGGTATCTCACGCCTGAAATCCCAGCACTTTGGGAGATTGAGGCGGGTAGATTACGAGATCATGAGTTCACGACCAGCCTGGCCAACAAGATGATGCCCTGTCTCTACTAAAAATACAAAAATTAGAGTGTGGTGGCCTGCACCTGTAGTCCCAGCTGCTTGGGAGGCTAAGGCAGAAGAATTGCTTCAATCCAGGAAGTGGAGGTTAGAGTGAGCCAAGATCACGCCACTGCACTCCAGCCTGGGTGACAAATTGAGACTCTGTCTCAAAA